ATTTAATTCTTAAGGAATCATTACAATAATCTTATCTTGCAAATTATTAATGACTATTTTTCAATAGGTCCCACCCCATCTAGTTTGAAAGAACAACATGGACTGATGCATCAAAACCCTCAGCTCAGTTCTACTTGTGTTTAGCATCTGAATCTTACCCTTAAAGTGAATTACAAGCAAACGAAAAACCCCAGAAGACTCCAACTAGCTTGGCCAAGCAGAACTCTCTAATAATATACAACTACCACATCCAGAGTACATTTATTAATCTGTCTTCACCTTCTAGTTGCTTGACCAGTGAAGTTATGCTTTTTAATACTACAAATAGCTTCTTTCCCACAAACTTCTGCTTTCAGGCCTGTGTCCAAGAGCTCTGTAGGACCACTAACCTGAGGGACAAAGGCTTAGAAGCCTGTTTCTAATTTAAACCAGTGCTAAAAGCACAGAGACAAATATAACCAAATTCAGCCACCATGCCCAGACCATTACATTTTAAGTTACAGTGGAATTAAAATGCGGCTGCAGGTCTGCCATCTCTCACCCTGAGCTATGTGTCAATGCTTGCTGAACCTGACAAGCAGACATGTGCTGTCGCTATTGAGTGCTGGTGCAATGCAAACCAGTCGAAAAAAGCAGATGAGATGAGAGATTTGCCTCCATTTGGAATGATTTTACAGCTTTGCCTTGTGATTTCTTGTTAGATCTTTGGTTATTAATTTTATATAACTTGATAAGTAAATCATAGTTAAAACCCTGGTTTTGCATGTATCAGGTGACATTAAGAATCTAGGTATTAACAACAGTTACCATTTGCATTGAAATAATTCAAGTTTAATATTAAAACTCTAGCTTTTTATTAAAAAAAAAAAAAGGACTCAGAAAGGAGTACTGGACACAAACAAGTAAGACCGTATGTAAATGCTTCCTGCTTAAATACTAAAATCCTGACTTCACCAAGAATCAACTCCCAAATAGCAATTTGTTCTTCTGACAGTATCTATGGCTTTTCATAATATGCACTGTGCCTGAATGAGAGCAAGCAGCCCAATAATAATGAGAGAGACTGGGTTTCCATTTGCCCTCAGGTACGTGAGCACCTTCAATATGCATCTGACAGAAAATCTGCGTCTGATGAAAAAACTGATCCGAGGTAGTTACTGAATTTTGCACTCTCAGTGGACAGGACACACTGTCAGCAGGGTAAATTTTTCCATTGTGTGCTTCACGATTGCCCTGTTCTGTGAAGCTAGAACTGTAGCACAGTTAAACTAACAGAAGAAAAAGTACTGGAAACTAATAAAGCACAATCTAAAAAGAAAAAACTTAGGAATGCAGTGAATGTTTTTCATTAATTCTTTCACATATGGTTTTTATTGCCATCCAAAAACGTCTAAGTGTCATAATAAGTGAACAAGTGATTCATATACAGAGCTGCTATCACTGAAAACCAAACTCAAACATGGAATCTCAGTGAAAAAAATTACCTTTTATCTTAAAATAAGCCAGGTCTTTAACTTCTGGGTATAAAAATATGAATGCTTTATGATTAATACTTTAAAAATGTCTCTGCTGAAGTGAAAAGCAAGATGGCTTTTATAGGCAATTATAAACACCTGCTGGCAAAGAATTTAGAAGAATAACTTCAGCTAGTGTCCTTTTAAGGCTGCAGTAAGCACCTGTTCATTTCACCCATAGCTTTATTGGATTTTCACAGAATTTTAATACCTCCTTAGTACTGGATTTTATTGCAAAAAGGTGGTCCTGATTTACAAGGATGAACAAACAAATGTCTAATAATAAGATGAAAAACCCAAACCCAAAAATTTCTTCGGCAAGCGTATGGAAGTCTGTATAATACTTCCCTCACTGGATTGGCATCACCAAAGTGTTCCTGTCTGTATTACCTCTGCTTCAGCATATACCCAGATGCATAAAGCTCAGGACTAACCTTAACGTGCAGTAGATGCAACTCAACCCAAACGGGAGAGATAAAGGCACTGAGGGAACAAAACTGGGTACTGAGATAGAAGGTATGTGACGAACACTGGTAACATGCATGGCCTCGGCACGGTGCTAAACAGAGGAAACTCAAGTGACTGCCTGCAAGGCAGCTTCAGGCTGTGGCTCCTGCTAGCAGGAGGAGAGAATTGCCTAGGTCTTGCTGACATTTACATGCAACACCTGCAGCATGCTCTCTGGGGGACTCCATACCAAAGTCAATTCAGACATCGAAGCTAATGCCTTTCACTACTGAAGCTCATCTAAGATTCTCACTTGCTCCTCAAGTCTTTCACTTTTATAACTAATACATACTATCAACAGAAATCACAATGAACGTGCACAGATGGTCACAACACAAGATAATATTACAGTAACTTCTGCTGCTAGAAAAATAAGACTCCAAGAACTAAATGAGCAAAAACATATTTCTCTACATTTTGTGGTACTGTACTGTACCGACATGTTTCAAAGCAGTTTCTTTAATAGCTGAATCAAAAAAAGGAAACAAAGTGATTCCAGGATGTTCAAAGCTACACAGAATTGTCATCTTCCATCCTATTATCCCATGCAAACACCTTCTGCTGTGATAATTTGCAATTTCACTGTTTTTCCAAACTTATTTTATGTGTGTATAAAGACACCGAAGTATTTTTACATAGATTTGCTTTGAAGCTTGACAGTTTGCACACCAGCAGTCTTCCCAAGAGTCTCCTTCACACAATTTCTAGGAAGCACATTGACACAATCGTTAGCGTGGGAAGTGTATGCCGGCGGTGTACGCAGTGTTTCACATACAGCCTAGTGAAATGAGCAGCTCAGGGGAGCTGCTGTAACTTAATTAACACCATGCTAGAGACTGCTCGCCTCTAGAGGCAAAGGCTGGCAAGCCACAAAGGAGTGTTAAAGCAGCTGTAACTTTTCATGCCTTTGGGTTGCAGAACAGGAAGGTGCTGCACAAACAGCGTGAGCAAAGGCTACCCTTCATCCTACCCTGCCCAAGACAACTCTGTCCAGCTGCACGGGATTTACCTCAAGAAACCATGTTAACTGTCTGTGCAACTCTTCAACTTTCTGACCGGTTGGGTCAAGGTGCCAACTGGAAATTGGTTTATTTATGTGGCAACAGGCTAAAGTCACCTGCCCTGAACAGGAAGTTGCAATACAGAGAATTGCAGAGTATTGCTAAGCTTATGCTGGAAAGGATAGGGGGACCCTGTGCAACTACAGTAACTAACAGGTGGTTACTTCCGTGGCAGTAAACACAACACAAAACCTAACACAGCCTTACACACACACACACACACACACACTCTCTCTCTCTCTCTCTCTCTCAAAGCTGTCAAAAGATACACTCATTGGTCCGTATAAGAAAAAAAATCTTTGGAGGCTGAATTCTGCTAATCGCAACTTCATCCATGTTAAAGGCAGAACGATGTTTTGCCACTATACGTGTTTAAAATATTAGTAAATGCATTTTCTATGACAAGACTTTCTCTCCGTCTTCCATATACGTGGGGCCACTGTCATCTGCATCGTATTTCTCTTTCATTCCACTTGGGCTCAGAACAGACTATGGCATGACACACATGGAAGGTACCCGTTCATCATTCAGTGAAAGCTCACATCATCTGCAGAGTAACGCAACAGACAGCAGGGTACACATTGAGGCCACGTAAGTTATAGCTACCAGGATGAGAGAACTGAAGGACGGCCCATTCTTGGCAGAACACGTAGAATTGTAGAAGCACATTGTAAGGAAAGAGTTAGTATTGAAGGCATTTTAGCTGTATGCAACTTGGTTTTGTGAAAAGCTGTGTTTGGTAGAAAGGGTATTTTTTATATTTATATTAAAATACAGTATTTAATATTTAATTCTTGCAAAGCTAAATTGCAGCTGGTCTGGACACTACTGATTAGTTTTCTTTCTACAGTAACCATTGCTGCACATATGTACCGTTCCACAGCTGGTGTTAGGCAACCTGGCATAAAGAGACATTTCTTCTTTGTTCCTGATGCTTATGCAGCCTCTTTCACCCCTCTTGTCTTTGAAGGATGCTTTTGGTAAGCATCAATTTAGAATATTTTTAAATCTGTAATTTCTCTGTGAATTAGAAGAAGATCAAGCAATTGGTTTCAAGTTGATTTTGCTTTCATTACAACAATTCATATAATAACTTCCCAAAAATTTGAGTGTGTTTTTTTGTTTTTGAAAGAAAACCCAGAGGAGACCAAAAGTAATCAAACTATGTATAATGTAATCTTGCTTGCAGCACAGAATTTGGAGACTACAGATTTGTTAATTAGCAGCAAAAAAGCATGAGACAGAACCTCTGTACATAGATATATGTTGTGTACAGCATGCACTTGGGTTACATGCTTTAGTTTTGAAACTGCATGCTTCAGTACAGTTTGCAGGACATCAAAGCAGAGTAGTTTTGCGACACAAGAAGTGGATTTCCTTTGTTGTCACGTCCACCACGGCTCCTTTTCCTGTCTGAACAAGCCAGCAGCAGCAGGTAGCCACAGAATGCAAGATTCATCAGTGCAAAGACATACACTTTAGAAGAGACTCATTTTTCATTTTAGAAGACTATATTAAAACCTTCAGTCTCTGTTCTTGTCTAATCAGCGTGTAAATGTTGTAATATTGGCAAGACAGAAAGCTGAGATAAAACAAATCTTTTAGTTGGCAGTTCTTAATATTCTGATATCTTAGGCAACAATGCAAGACTTCTAGAACCTTACTTGAACACACATTCCTCTCTGAGGAAATGATGCATGTAGTAATTTATTTTAGACTACCCCCAAATAATCCCCACATAGATTGCAATGTGCATATGCATATATATTTCCATAATAAGAAAGCTGAAATATTTATTTAAATGCACGAAGTTTTTAAGAGATCATGCACTGATGCTCTTTGACGGTGAAAAGCCAAATAAAAGATTCATGAGCGCGCTAAATTAGAAAGCGACCAAAGGGCATAGCTTAATTCTTACCTTGGCTGTTTTTTTCACGGGTTGACATTTTTGCTGGTTATGGGACAGAAATAAAATATCTTAAAACTATTTCTAAAGTCTTACTCACACCTGCTTGGATGAAGACTGGCACATAGGTCAAAACTTTAGATTTTTGTTTTCATAACCTCTATTTACGCTCATACAAACAGAGAAAATCACGAAAGTAAAACGAATCCTCCCACCACCCACCAAAAATTTCTGTCCTTCAAAGATCCAAAAGATCCAATTTGATGAGACATTTCTCCATAATTTCAAAGATCCTTATACAGGTCTCGAGCAACATTTGGCCAGATGAATTCTTGGAGTAATTATTAATGTTATTTTAGCTCTCTAGCCCTGTTTCATATGCATACGTCCCAATGTATTTATTTACAGGACATAGTATTCAGTCAAAAGAAAATCTTTTCAACTTCATCCAGTATTTAAAGATAAATGTTTTTATTTACCTTGGCTGACGATGACATCTTTGTGCCTGGGGAAAAATCCAAAATAATATCGTTAATAATATGTGAAATGCTTATCAAGCCAACACCATCTAGTTCTTATACATTATTGCATTTGGCAATTTCATCATGTTCTGTGTACAGTTTAACTGTAGTATAGGATGCTAAATAAATAAACTTGGTCATCGTAGTGTATTTTTACCCATATATTATTTTATGCAGTTCACGGTATCTTTCGAGTAACTTAAAGTCTTTGGCCCTATGGCAAAGGTTCCTAAGAATTACTGTGACAACCACAAAATACAAAAAGCTTTTAAAAATAAATTATGGAGGGCATATTCCTTGTGCACAGAAAATGCCATTTTGACAGAGCAAACTTGTAATAACCAAATGTTTTAAGCTGCCAAACACACTCAGGCCTGCATGCAAAGCATTTAACACCTGTCAAAATAAGCTGTCAGCACACACCACCACAAATTTTTCTAGGAATTAACCATGTTGGACACATGGATTAAATGTAAACAAGTTGCAGACGAAACTAAATGAAATTAAACTGGATCCATGCAGCATTACTGGATGTACAACACAAAGTCTTCAAAGGAGTGCAGTTGAGACGTCTCTCCTTGCCAGAACCAGGAATGAGCTACTCGCAAAAAACCTCAATCCTTTTTTGTGAAGAGGGAAGAAATACTAATTTCCAGCATCAGAGCTACTTCTTACCGGAATAACACTCCTTGACGGGAGAATGTATTGCATAAAAAACCCTCTTGAATTCATTTGAAATTCAGTAGGAAGGTATGAGTGGCATCCAGTATTTTTAGCTGGATGGAGGTCAAATTTTTGTAACAGTGACAAAGGGTCAAGCATATGCATAAGGAAAGTCATCTCTGGCTATTGGTAGAATCACCCTTCGCCACACTGCCAAATGAAAAATTAAAACTGGATTCCCAGTCTTGCCTGAAAAACACTGAATGATGGGCTGCCATGGGAACCCTCTTACTTCTTATGGCTTTATCAGACTGATTTACAGCTCAGTGCTGGCTTAAAGACTGAGCTTACTACACAAAGCTCATATCCTGGGCTGGTAGCGCAAAGCATATGTAAAACATTTCTGTCCTGGGGCCCACATTAGGGGCTGAATTCTATTCCCTTGCACAAGACTCGGGTAACTTCAGGCAGATTAGGCCAACGTTTCTTAATTGGGAATGATAAATGCAATATAACAATATGCCTTTGCACAATACCAACCAATTCTTTCAGAAATTGGGCACATGGGATGTGAGTAAGAAATGAGCATTAATGTGTGCTCTTGAATGTAAATAGTGCTTTTATTATAAATCTGACCATAAGAACAAGGTACACAAACAATACAACACCCAGTCTTCAGACGATGGTCTACAATTGATAATGTTTGAAGCTATGTTTTTTGCCAAATATTTTAAGATACGACAGCTTCAAGTTATGAACAGACAACTTTCTCTAACAATAATTAATCCTAATCTTTCCTTTTCCGCTCTTTTGTTAGATATCTAATTTTTTTTTTATACATTAGAGACTGTAGAAGGGCAGTATTTAAAGTCTTTCAGAAAATAAGCAGAATCACAGGAAAATGAAACAAGATACCTCTACTTTGACCATGCCTGAACCCATACACAAAATGTCAATAAAAGTAAAATTTATTTTCTATTATTAGCGAATTTGAAGTATATACCACGTTATGAAAGATACTTCAGTAGCATAACAAAAAACCAAGAAAAGAAACTTGATAAGTAGAAATCAAGACAGAGGGTTATTTCATTCCAAAATATTATCTAGCAGTACCCTGCTACAATCTAAATTGCCAAAGGGCTTTTAAATTCCAACAGTGAAAACCAATCATAAAAGGAAAAGAAATACTTGCAAAATATGTAACCCATAATCCCTTACACACAGCACTTCACTGCTCTGCAGAACTCTTCAGGCTAAGCATAAAGCTTTTAGTAAATGTGCCGATATCCACACCCAAGATTAATTTAAGATGTTTTTGTTCTTCCCATTCCTAGGAAAGAAGGAATGCACTTGCACCGCTCTTGACTCTAAGTATGTATTTGACAGTCTTCTATGCAAGCTAAGGAGAGCACTAGGGGCACGATCATAAAAAGACTGGCAATTACTCTGAAAGGTCTGAAGAGTTTTATTTGTCATAGTGGGAGGGGTTTTCAGGCAGTTCTGCCTTGGACAGGTTAATGGCTATTTGAATGAAGATTAATGAGTGGATGTATGAAATCTGCAGATGACATCAAGCTGGGAGAAGCTGCCAGCGAGCTGGGGGGGATCTCGGCAAATAGGAGAGGGGTCAGTCACAAAGTCAACACAACAATTTCAACAAATTCAGCAAAATTTCAACAAAGTCAAAAAAAGAAACTAAGTGTGTGAATACAAAGTGGGAAGCCCAACTGGCAAAGAGTGTTGAGGACAAGAAGTGGGTCACAATAGGGGTCCTCAACGTGGAGTTACAGCAAAAAGCAAACTCTTGTCCCTGTGCTGACAAGAGTAGGAAAAATAACTACTCTGTGCTATTCATCCCCGGTGAGGCCTCCACTGGAGACCACAACCTGAGAAAACCACCATTCCTGTGAGAGGAATGATGGGCTACAGCACATCACCTACTGAAGGTGAAGCTGAAAAGAAGATCCCTGCCTGTTATCTAGAACCTGCAATCAGGAACCTGTTAAACAGTTAATTTGAGAGACCCACCTGAAATCATAAAAGTATATTCTTACTATTACAGTCTACTTTAGAAACACACATACTATGTCAAATCCAGTAAATTAACTTCAAGGAAATACACTTGTATTTTCAAATCAGTTTTAATTAGGGAAAAAATGGTTGGAAGCTTCACAACAGTGGCATTAAGCCATAAGTCTTAACTCATAGTGCATAATTCTGCTAACCCAAATGGGCAACATTAAAATATATTTACACTCAAATCCTGCATTCACATTTTATAATAATTTTAAGATTCCACAGGCACCTGGAGCACCACATTGGTAGGTTATGCAAGTAATTACTGCTGGTAAAAACAAAGATGCAAATAGTCTTAGCATATACATAAATAAGTTCACTAAAATTATGCAATTTTATAATATTTTGATTCTAAAGTTCACTTGCTTTTATGTACCAAACTTGATACATACTTGTCTGCATTCTTTGCCACTTTTGATATTAATTTAGATGTTGACGCTACTCTCAGCAGCTTGTTACGACTGTCATCTGAACTCTCCCAAGCACCGTGAGGTTTTTCAGTATACATAAATAAGTTCACTAAAATTATGCAATTTTATAATATTTTGATTCTAAAGTTCACTTGCTTTTATGTACCAAACTTGATACATACTTGTCTGCATTCTTTGCCACTTTTGATATTAATTTAGATGTTGACGCTACTCTCAGCAGCTTGTTACGACTGTCATCTGAACTCTCCCAAGCACCGTGAGGTTTTTCAGCAGTCAAGGATTTCTCTGTGCTAGAAGAAACAAAAATATATTTAAAAATTACAAGATAGTAAGATAACAATAACTGGAACTGGTATGCAATGGACAGATCAAGCAGCAGGAGACAAAAGCAGAGGTAGGTCTTCCTTCAAGCTGAAGCATGAAACAGGAAAAAAAGATTAGTCAAAAAGTTCTAACTGGATGAATGAAAACAATTGAGCAAGACAGTTGCCAAATGTTTTATCCATTCCCTTCCATTTCCAAATGCTCTTACATACAGACTTGAACAAAATAACTCTCTACCTCGTTACTATATTGCTAACGAATTACAAAAGTGGAAAAAAATGAGGCTACACTATATTAGCCTTAAAGAATAAATTATTAAAAAAAAAAATCACTTAAAAAGATAACAAAGAAAAATAGAAATTTTTTCCCTGATTAACTGTTCACCAGCTTTAACACACTGATTTCTGAGGCAGAACAGTTCTATCAGATTACAGTTTTATAGGGCTGTCTTGCAGATAGCACATTCTAAACCACATTAATGGCTTTCATCTTTTTGAAACAAATGTCTGCAAACTTCTTGCATGAATAAGGCAAGTTAGGTTGGCCCAATACGACAGATGATTAAATCCATGAATTTTGATTTTTCAGCAATCTTATTGTAGCCAATTTACACTGATGGGAACCTGCAAGTTTTGCAGTCACTAGTTCATTAGTTTCACACACATCTTAATCATGGAAAACATGTTCAAAAGTGATCTAGCTCAAATTATTCTTCAACCAGCTGATTTAGAGTCTGCATATGTCCTGCTAACAGTATTATACTTCATCCCGTCAGAAATGCTTTTTGCAGGAGTAAGTCTTGAACTGCAACCTTAGAAATGGCAAGCTCCTTCCACAGCACCTCAAGAGGCTGAAAGGTCCTGTGACAAACAAGTTAATCAAATCAAGTTAAACCATTAGGAGACTAAAAAAGGCATTTATTTTTTTCCCCACACTGCAAAAGATTAGTAAGCGAGACTTCAGACAAACATCTTTACAGTGAGATACCAGGCAGGAGAACAACAGGCCGCAAGTTCAGCTTCAGACAACTTAAAGAGTTTGTGCAAGACATGGAGACAGAGCCTTTATGGAGTGTTATAACATGCATCAGTCAAGTGAAAGTTTAAATATTTATTAGAGCTGTGAATTCGAGCAATGCAAGACAACATAATCTTGTGAACTACAGTAAATTTCAGAAGAATAAATTTCATTTAAGAGCTTCTTTCAGTCTCCTAAATGCTAAACAGTAAAAGAAAATTTCATACCTTGCAAAACAATAAGGTGACAATGAACCAAAAAAAGAAAAAAGAAGAAGAAACCACACTGAGTGATCTGCATAGTTTTGAAACTCAGAAATGATCACCCAAATCTTAAAATCCATTTCCTTGACTTTAAAAAGCCTTTTTTAAAAAAAAAAAAAAAAAAAAAAAGGTACCATTTTTTCTGTGCCTAATTCCCACTAAAATGAGCAGGAACTTAGAGGCAACCCTAAATAAACTTCTACATTCACTCAAGTCAAGCAGTTCTATGATTTGGGTGCAAAACCAGAACTTCACTCATGTAAAGAATCAGTATAAAAGTGAAGTGAACCACCCTGCAACCTAGCAGGAATTGAAAAGGGAAGGGCTGCAAAAAAAAAAAAAAATCCAAACTGCAGTCACTTTATAGAATAATTTTAGAAGAAAAACTCCTGAAGGAAGAGTTGCAATAACACTAGTATTTAAAAAATGCTGTTACGAGATGTAGTAGATGGCCATGTGCAAAATACACTCCACAATTCACCTATGCCAGACAAAACCCGTGAAGTGTATTTTGAGAAGGATCAAGTCAGAGTCATCGTTAAATATTTTAGAGTAATGACTGATTAGAGGTAATCTACCATATTAGGATTTCAATCACATAGAACAAAAAAAATCTTTGTAATCTTAAAAATTGCATTTTTACATATTTGCTCTGTTGCAATGCATGTTGAATGCATCTTCTCTAGCACAAAAAAAAATCAAACATTTATTAACTTGATCATGAGATTGGAACTATTTCACATGACTTGTTGTCAAATATGAACTCAGTATCATTACAGTAATTTTCTAGTTCTGTACTGTGGTACTGTGAAAACCTTTTAGCTGGAGCAGAACTCTTGCTTTCTTGAGTTTGCCTGTGTGTTTGGAGAGTCTGTGAGGAGGGCTGGGGAGAAGGTGATGCTTGAGTTTGTGGACTTTGATCATTAGAATGAGATTCCTCTTTTTTTTCTTTCTGTCCTGGAGGTTTTTCCTTCTTTTTTTCTGTACCGCTGTAAAATAAAGTAACATAGGGGGGAAAAAAAAAGAGAACAAGCAAATAAATTAAAAAGGTGGGAGAAAATGCCCTCTGTGAAAAGATGGGAGAAGCATGTAACAACTTACTATATATAATCACCGAAAGAACGCTTTGATTGTTTACTCACTCTCTTCAGTTTAGCGTTTTGCTGAACTAAGATTCATTCACAAGCTCCAAAAATAAAAAAGGTGAGGGAGGCATGGAAGATTATTTACTTATTTTTACTGCGTAGTTGTACTAAGTTTACTCTGATTTTAAAATGAATATAACTTTGATTTGAGTATGTCCTTCATTCACAGGTGCTTCTACAGCAATCAAAGCTGACCCAAGTTGATGCACCACAAGTCTGCCGTCCCTCAGAAAAAAAATCATCCTCTGGTTCAGCTCACTGACTACCTCACCATGCTGCCAACCAAGGCTCAGTGCAAGTGAAAGGCAGGAGTGTGACTTGCACTATCTCCGATTAGCTTACGCCCACCATGAAACTATACCTCTCTCTCTGTATCTCTGGGCGTACATGGTACCGCTTATTTTTGCGCTGTCACCAAAAGGGTGAAATGCTGTTGCTGGTCCCTTGGCTCTCCCTGGCTGCACCAGAGTTCAAAGGAAATCAGCCCTGAAAACTCATCGCTGTTTTGATCTGTAGTTGACTAACATCAGACTGTCTTGCCACTTCTTTAATGCCTTCAGTAAACGACAGCTAAGAATACATCTTTATTTTCATAGTGCTGTATTTATTAGGTTAACATTTGAAACAGCTTTAAATACATGTCATTAACAACCTTAAATTCTTTAAGAACCTAACCAAAGGCCCACTAAGTAAACAGAAAGATTAATTAAAAGGGTCTTTATAAAATAGCATGCTTTGCAATATACTGAACCACACAAACAATAGCAGGACCTGAAAGAGAAGATTATTCTGTAATTCATGGTCTAATTTTTTTTTTTTTTTAAGATTAAAAAAAAAAATCTTCCAAGATCAAATTCTCAGTGAACAAACAAAGCAAGATACAAACACTGGCTAAAAAGGAAGAAGAATGATTTTTCTCTTATGTTCAAAGTAACCTGCAAAGTAAAAAAGAAATAGTATCTTTCTGAAGGGGGGAATCCAGATTTCTATTCCCTCACACCAATCCCCCCCCCAAACCCTTGTATAGTCTTAATTATTTGTGTTTCCATTTACCTTTCCCCACAAAACAATGAAAAACAGTAAGACAGTATACAAAATAAATGAATAAAAATGGCCCCCAATTTTAATATAACATTTATAGGACCCTTTTTTTGTTACATTTGTTATTTCAATTAAAGTATATCATCTACCACCGAGATAAAGCCCTCAATGCTTACGAGTTCAACATTTCTAAATGCTTCCAAAGAAGCACCGAAGAACAGGTCAAAACATGAAAAATAATCCAAAACCCAAAATACATTTATAAGGATCACGCAGGATTTCTTCTGTAAACCATATTAACTAGTTAAAAATGTCAATATAATCCATCAAAGTTACATTTTCTTTTCAGAAGAAAACAGATGAAAACAAAACAGAAAGAGCTTTCATATTTCTTGAAGGCATATATGTGATCATAGAGAGCAAAGCTTGAAGAACTGTGGGGTTTTGGTTAATAATTTATAGCCAGAAGTCCTTAATTAACTAGAAGCATAAAAATTATTATTATTTTTTAATCAGAAGACTTAGCTTGCATTGCTGGATGCAAAAGCACACCACGCAATCTTAATCTTTTCGCAGTCTGTGGCAAGAAATGCATTACAGCAAAATAAATTCTCGGAATCTCTTGTCACTAAAGAAAACAAGAGTCTCTCTATTCCTACTCTGACAGGTACACTCGTAGACCTCTGCATTCATTCTCCCATAAATGCAGGATTTCTCACAACGAAGTCCATCTACTAGGACAGACCTCTTTTTTTTTTTTTTTGTTAAGAAATCATCTTTCAGGAAGACATGCTTCCAATTTTCCCCTTCCCTCTACTTGGGGGTTTCAAAATACAGCCTAGTAATAGTAAAAGAGATGAGGGACGCAGGAGGAGAGAGAATACACAAATGCATTGACTTCTGCAACTCCAGCTTGCAAGTCTACAAAAAATGGTCCTACTTGGTCAAAACAATGGCTCACCTGGCACCGTGTTCTGTCTCAGGTGGTGACATAAAAGAGCTCATCAGTGAGGTCATTACCTGCAGTTCCTTTCCCCATACTTTTTGTAATATCCCGTTTACAATGACACACCAGCAATCCTGCAATTCACCTCCGCGTTCCTCCAGCAGGCTTCAGGTGAATGCCACCTGCTGACAGCAGCATATTATCTAACTTACCAGTTCTGTCTCCTGTTTTCTGTGTTCTTACCCAAACTCATTTAGCTCATCTGATCCATCTCTTAGAAAACACAGGTTCAGTGTGGGAATCTCTTCAATGGCTTCACGGAGCTTGTCAGCTGTGGACTATCTGTTTCACACCTTTGCCATTAGGTTCACACCTTAACTTCTCTATTGGACCATGAGAGTCACTGGACCACTCTGGTTTCTCCGAGTTGCAGCACAAGGTATACCTTGGGTTCCAACACAGCGCTTTTATCTACCACCACGTTGCAAGTGGGTTTCTTTTTTTGACTGCCATTTTAATGTGAAAGTAAACTATGTAGATATGTGGCAGTCTTGGTATTGAATATCTTCGTGCTTAATTTATTTGTTTTGCTCTCTCCTGACAAAATCTTCAGCTTAATTGTATTATGTCTGCTATTACAGAGTGGCCCTCCCACTAATACCTCTTGAACTAGGTCTTATGCAATAACTGAAACCAAATCAAGAACAGCACCTTTTCTTGTGCGTTTCTGAAGACTAGTTGTTCTGAGAAGCAGTTATGATAGAATGCGTCCAAAAATTCTTTCCAAATCCCAACTCAATGAGACATTTCTTCAGCCTATATGTGAGTAGCTGAAATCTATTACTATCTGTCCTAATTTTGCAGATTCACTAATTTCACTTAACACAACGTTTCATCCTTTGGACCACAACACATTGGCAGCTACTGTGGAGGGTGGTCATTCTGAAACATGAAGACTATTCTTACCAGAAGCCGTTTTCTGAAGAATGTTTAGTCCTAGGGAAAATGATCAAGCAGGTCTTTGTGACAGTCATCTGCAGTATGAAGTACAAACCTGTTTCCAACTCCAGTGATAATAGAAGGTATGCAGCATGTTTTTTGTTCTAAAGTGTTTTGACACCTCTATCACAAGTCAGTTCCAGACTACAGGGCTGAAATTTTCCCAACATGTACATGACTTCATCTCTGTCAATGGGACATCATCTACCTGTCATTCGTGGTACATTCCTGGGCTCTGGTTTTAGCAAGAGCTGATATTTTAGCATACCTATGTTGAAATGAGATGTGCTGCTGCTGTGTAGCTACTGAGCTTCAGATCACCTCCATGATCTCAGTGTTCAAGTTGGTAGAACAAGGATTAAACAGTCCAGGAAATTAAACAGAAGAAATTCTCCGAGATGGCAGGTCTACAGAGGCCAGAGCCCCAGAAATGTACAATATTAAGACTGCACAAAATACAGACACTAAACTTCAACAATAACAGCTTAGACACAAGTAGGCCTTCTGTTATTTGTGACTAGATGTATGGCTATATATATTTAGAGCATGAAAAGCTATAGGCAGGTTATGGGGGCTGTTTGGTAACTAAAATGTAATTCTACATCAACAGATGACCATGTCCACCTGCTGCACCAGTTCAACCTCCAGCCTGAAGAAAAGCCTGAACAAGTTGGGGTGAAGCATCCCACGACCAGTGATATTCTCCTTTGGCCTCCCTCCTTTTCAACTGTGACAAGGATGTTAGAAATAGACACATTTACCCAGACTTTAAGGAAATGGGACTACTACTGACATTCACTTATGTCTCCTACTAGAAACACTATTTGGTACTGAACAGTTTTGCTGTTGTTAAAAAAACACAACCACAAAGCCTGAGATTTTACATTTTCTTTCACCTTTCTTGAGCTGGTAATTTTACAACAGGATAAGTCTATTTTCTACCAAATGCCAAACAAATTTCATGGAAGAGTGTATAAAGACAGAAGAGCGAAAGGAACTGCTGGAAAGGTAACTAAAGAGAGGACTTAAGCCTTCCTAAAACAAGCCTTGAAGAAGGCAGTCACGTATCTTCAGATGCATTGGAAGCACCAAAACCTCCCCTGGACAGTAATTTGGGTGCCTGGGGAGAGCTGCCCTCTGCATAGTAAGGCTTTCCTCTTTTGGCCTCTCCAGGTCTCCTTTTAAAGACCTTAACTCACATGAAAGGGATGCCAACCACTCCACTCTGCTCTTCTTCTGTAGTCAAGTGATGAGCAGCCCATGAATCAAGAAGGTGATTCAGTGCAAACACAAGCTGAACACCACAGGAACTGGACTGGCTCTCTTCAAAGTGCCAAGAGCCACAGGGGTAAGATTAATGGAAACGTGCTAACTAAGAAATACCTTCCTGCAGGAATGTCTTTTGTTCCAGTGCCTGTCACATGAGCAGATAGAGACAAACAGTGATCACTTTCTGATTTATTGTTGAAAATTAAACATAAGGACTCAATAAAAAGACAGACATGCAATGCTACACAATGGAGAAGAGTGAAGAGCAGGGCATTACCCTTGCTTTCCAAATTCCAAAGGGCACTAAAGCTTTTTCTGGTTTGTTCTCATACAGTTTATATTTGCATACAGCATTTTTATTCCCTGAAGTATGTAATTTCCCTGTCTTGTTGTATAGCACAGGATTTACATCCACACTAGAAGATAAACCAGCCACTGGAGTTACCAGAGTACTCTACAGAGGCCAAGAATTTGTTCACATAATTTACCACAGTTGCACATTAGAGTATTCTCTGTCCTGTGGCTGTATCTGGCAGCCTTCCCAACAAATAGGAATAGGTGCAAAACCTATTGATTAAAGCAGCCATGTAATACTATCTAACAGACCCACAGAAGACAGTAGTTATACAAACACTTTGTTTACTGTATGCAGCTAAAACCATTACATGGAGGGAAAAAAGCTATGGTTTGGTGCTTAGCTCAGTTAACTTACAAATACTCAAGCAGTGTTATTTCTACACATTTGATATCTGATACAGACATTCCTTGTAAAGACTAAGTAGCCATATTTTGGGTTAAGATTTTCAACACAAAAATGTAAACTTTTATCTTACACAATTCACTATTGTTTCATAGCTATTTGCTATTGCCTACTATTTACACTCCAGACAATGGAGTCAGTTTTGTCCTTTAATTTCCTTGAAAATAAAGATGCAGATGAATACCAGAAGGAAAAATTTTCCATTTGCACTGGAAGTACATTTGCCCGTCCTGTCCCTTAGTGAGAATGCATTTTGGACACTATAGAAATACTCTCCATTTATGAATTCTTTTTAGAACCCTGCTGTAAGCAGCCCAACAACATGGTACATCTCCAAAGTTTATTTGTGCCTTACTAGACTTCAGGAAGCTCTACTGAAGGTCATGCAGAGGCAAAAATCAAACTCTCGCTCGGGGGGTGGGGGATGGTTTTTTGTTTGTGGTTTTTGTGGTGTGTCCCCGTGTCGTGTGTGTCCCCCCCCCAAAAAAAAAAAAAAATTCAGTTTTAATAACAAGTCGGTACCTTTTTGCAGCAGATGAAAGAGTTTCTTTTCTGGCAACAGAAACAGAGGAACTGTGGCTTGTTTTCCTGCTTCCTGTACTCCCGTTAGTTATACAGGACATCGAGATAGCTTCTCGGAGGCTTGGCTGACCTAGAGAAAAAAAAAAGAATATTGAAGAACACAAGGTTTTACAGCTGTATCCAAAGATCCATCTGAAAAACCAAAAGCTCTCAGATGTGAACCTGGTATCACACAGCAGCAGCCGCAGCACCCAGGACAACCATCTAGCCTATATCCAGTGACATAAATTCATGAAAGCCTTAACCCAGGCAGCTGGAGACGGGAGACCTAGGACACTAAGGCAAGAATACGCTCTGATAAGGGTCAGCTTCTCTACTGCCATGCTGCCAGCAAATTCAGCAACATGCCACATCTCTTTCCGGTTGTGATTCACAGGGAGAATTATAGATTATGGCTAGCTTTGGGAAGCTGGTAGCTCCAACAGCTGTGGGACAGCAGATCTGATTATTTCAACTCTGTTGTTCAAAACCATCACAGCTCAGATAATACCACATGAGCTTTGTTGCTTTCAATTTGTTTGTTTTTTTCCTAAAGTTCGAAGAAGTTGAAGACAGAAGCCCTCTCTATCCTGAAAAAATTATTAAGTTACCTAAGGGCTGGGATTCTAAGGATTCAAAAATCAAGTTTTTCAGCTTGTTTTCAGCTGCCCCTTCCATCTTAAAAAGGTATCGACCTTTGAGTATATGCACTATGGTATAGTTATTAAGTTTCTGATATAGTTTACTCCGTAGAACATCTGCCAAATCCAGTGAACATCACAGACTCCCTCCAGGGATGAATCAAGACTGTATATGTGAAGAAGGCTGTTGTCTGTCAGATGCCCACTTCACTCATTGCAGAAGTTTGAAACTATGCAGTGAATGTGGGAGGGGACTGCAAGGAAGACGGGGGGAGCGAAGGCTCTTCTATTTAAAGAGCTGAACGCTAGCCTGGCAATCGGCTCCCAGAGCCGCCTCTGCCACAGACCGTCAGTGAAATACAAGGCATTTTACTTGAACCTGACATTTCACCCTTTCCCACTAACTGCATGTCTCTCCTTTTTTGCGTGCCTATCTTATTTCTAAGGTCTTATTCAGAAAAGAGTTTTGCCCCCTCCTCCCCCCGAGTGCTAAACTTGTGCTTTTCCCCTCTGAAGCATTACATGCCCTGAAAAAATCCCCGGGCTAATCTCACATTAAGCATCCAAAAACCAGCGGTCACTTTTCATCCCATCTCCGTGCCACATCCTCATTTCACAAACAGCAAGTTGTTACTGCATCTCATGGGGTCGTGATGTCCAGCCACTCTGACTTCACCAACAAGCACGAAGGACATGACTGACAGGAAAATAACAGATCTGTGTTCACGGCAGGCTTGGAATAGTGTGAGATAGATAAGGCATGAGGCCATACACTGAAGATAAAAATGAGGAGTAAAAAAGCAGTCGGGGAGAATCGACTGCTCTGCGCACTGAGGGCAAACTCACACAGATGCATCATTTGAACAATACCAGCATTTGGCCCGTTTGTCACATCGCAGCTTTATCAGGCAGGCTGAGAGGCAAATTAATTCTTATTTTAAACAAGTGCTTTACATACGAGAGATACCCATCAAGGGAATATTAGATGTCAGAACTGTTTGGATGAAGGCAGAAATGGGCTGATCTGCGCTAACCGTATACTGTTTCAAATGCACCAAGCAGCATGTGACCACATCTGAAATTCAGATCAGGAAAGCCAAAAGGAGCATGCAGAATATCCCAGGCAGAAATGAGAATAAAGGAAATCTGAAGAAAGTAAAGACACACTTAAATATAGAAACACCGTAAAGACCATTGTTGTTCTTCCTAAATTCTGCATAAATCAACTTAGTATGATTCCTTCCAACCGGTACTTCTTAGAGACCGTTTTATTTGCAACATACGCATTTGGAATACAGATATTATTTTAAAAGTTAATATACTGCACAAAACCTCTAAAGCTCAAGAGATTTTTACCCCCCTGTGTAACTTAGATGCAAGAACAAAAGCGCATGAGCTTAAAAAGCACTTTTAGTATTAGAAGCCTATAAATTAACTTCTTTTATTTTCAGTGACAAAGTAAATCATCTTCTTTGTGGAAATGCATAGTATCAAGGCCTATGATTCGCTCTTGAACTGCATATGACCTTAACATCTCCATCTGCTCATCGTAATAGATCAATGCCTCTCCAACCAGCGCTAGCGCGGCTTTCCAAAAATGTGAATCAGGAGACATAATAGCGGTAATTCTCAGTACAGTGGGGAAAGCATTCAGCGGAAAGTGTGAAGAACAGCAGTACTGCAGACAGAGTACAGGAACTTAATAAGATGGGGAAAAAAAAATTGCTCCGTTTTCTCAAGCAAGGAGCACATTGCTATTCTGTTCACTGATGGTATCTAGAATTCCCCCTACTAAGTATGAAAAGTGTTAGTTCCTGCTTACGTGCAATGACAAAACTGATGACAAATAAAACTGTACATCAGTGTATACTCATGACAGGAATGTGCTCTGCTCCACGCAATGATGAATGCAATAATTAAAAAAAAAGTATCCATATGGCAGTTTTTGGGTTATTTGTTTTTCAGTAAAGTGGATGTTGATGGTAGATCTGCAGAGTACTTCCTAATTTCAACAAGTGGCATGCAAAATTAAGTTTGAGATTAAGACTTTTGAATCAAAGTAAAAACAATTTTTGTAAAATTACTAACAATTACACATATCCCAGATCTCTTGAATCATTCATTTCTTGAAAAAGTGACCGAAACATTTGGACACAGACCAAAACATCAAGATCTAGGAAAAACTGCATTGACAGATTTTTTTCAAGTGTCAAAAATATATCAGGCTTTCTTACACTCCAGAATCTTGGTCAGTCACAGTTGAGTGTGCCATACTCAATGTGCAATAAAATGTAAAAAACAACAAAACAATGAAACACACACACCCAAAATAAAACAAACAAAAAACCCCAAAAAATCCCAAACCCAATACCCCTAAGAAACAATCCCCCTTCCAGGCTCTCTATATATTCCATTTTAGTTAGATATTCAAAAGTGACCTTTAGAATACCTATTTTTAAAGGGAAAAAAAATTAAAAATTCAACTAATCTGCAATTATATGTAAAGAAAATGCATTTAAATTTTAAGCCACGAGAAGGAAGGGCAAGTTTAAGCCCTGTGCACATCCCAGGCAGTGGAGCAGTGAAGCCTGGCTGCCCACAGGGTCAGAGACACACAACCAGGCTCTTCCCAGCCAGGTCAGAAGCCCAGGGAAGCTGACACACTGGTCCCAAACCATGCAGCTCTCTTCATGACTTTTAACCAGGGCATCTCTAGAGTCAAAAGATGTCAAAAATTAACAACGCTGTAACCTTCACTGCAGAGACAGCCCTTCAGCAGGGCTATAGCAGTTAAGCAACTTTGCTTCAGAGACCTGGGAAATAACAAAGCAGCACAGGAGAACACAAATTCCAGATCAATAGACTAAAACAATCGAGTTCTCCCAGCACTCGGATTGCACATCTCTGCCAATATCATGTCATACGTCACCTGCTAGCATAAACAGTCTGAAATTTTTCAGACTGAATAGCACTCAGCTTTATCTGTTAGTTTGGAACAAAAGCCAGACATAAACTGAACATAAAATGAAAGCCAGTGTATGGTGACCAGGATTAAAGCCAAATTGTCAGAGATCAAAGTGGTAAAAAATGTCTTTTATGGATAATGGATTCATCTCTGTTCTGATAATTTTCATAGAATAGTATCTGTTGAGTTCAAAAGAAGCGTTTCATTAACATCTGTCAAGTATACAAGTGTGTGAATGAAAGATAAGTAGGATTAGAAAAAACAGACCACAATAAACCAAGAATCTATTTCCAACTCTATCAGCCTTGATTAGCTAACTGGGAAAAAACTGAAGCCAAGCTTTAAGAGGCAGCCGTAAGTTTTAAAAATGTGTGTCCTGTGATAACATGATAGCTTTTCTTTCCAAACATACGTATAAGGTACTAGACCTGAGGTTCAGTTAGTAATTCACTTCTTTTTCCCAAACCCAAAAGTTAGGTTTTTATGTTAAAATATAGTTTATTATGTTATTACTTGTGTTAACTGGAACAACGATTTGCTTAATCTTTGTATTTGCTCATATCCTGACAGGTAAACTGCCTTTCTTCCAAAGAAAAACCAAACCCTTCTTTTTCTTCTTCAGGTAATTTCAATTTAAAGTAAGTTAGCTACAGCTACATTAAAATAACTTCTCAGGACACTTCGTTCAAGTGGATTTAAAACAAAAAGCTCAACAAACTACGTGTTACGAAAAAAAGGATTTACTTATACTGATTTGTTGTTTTGTTTTTTGTTTTTTTTTTTTTTTTTTACAATAAGGCATACAATATCCATGTCCTCCAACAACCTTAGAATACTTCATTCTCAGCTAAACTTGACAAAGATTTCTGTATTTCAAATATATTACATGCCTTGGGGTTTTGAGTGAATAAAACTGGTGGCTTGAAGGACAGAAACCCAATTTAGTACTCTTACTAAAGCAGCATACAGTGTATGTTCAACCACACTATTAGTCACCAGAGAACACAGACAGGTGAGCCGCACTGAAATAGTTCTAAGTGTAGCAGAACATAAGATTTTATCTGCACTTCCTTCCTAAAATAAAGACATCAAAAATGAACCAGAAATTATGACAAATCCTAAACTTACAAGATGTTATAATAAATTGTACCAAAGCCGTTTCAAAGGATGTGAAGTCCCTCAGCTCATGGAAGATGCTGGCAAAGAAATAGCTTAGGAACACTAAAACTCTTTTCAAAAAGAGTACTGTATTCTGAAGGGTAGGGGAAAATTTGCTTCAGCAGTTTGTTTTATTCAACTACTTCACTTACATAGTAGGAGTCAAATTCTGATTGAGACTTCTTAAGCAGAAAAAAATGTTCTCTTCTGTCACATGAACAAACGTTACCGGTCAGGGCAAGATACTAGTTCTCAAATAAAGACCAATATTAATCAGGAAAAAATAATTCAGTTCACTACCTATGGGTTATACTTCATCTTGTTTAA